AAAGCATCTCAGAAAGTGAGGTTTCATCCGCACTTTAGGTGGGCTTTTTGGGCTAAACCTTGGTCACCAGGCGGAAGAGAGATGGAACATGAATGGAAAAGAGTCACGGTCAGGTGTCGGGGCGAGACCGGGCCTCAGGAGAAACCCAGGTGAATTCGGACACATCCCCGCCGTGGCGCTAGTTTTGGGGGGCCTCAAGGGCTTCCGAAAACGATCTCGTTATTCATGAGACCATCTGTAGAGTGAAGGTCGGGCTGCACGAACTTTTTTGAACACCAGAAAGGAGACTGGTCAAGAAGCACGGAGAGCTACGCTGCTCTTCGGGAAAAAACACATAAAAAAACATATTAAGGATGCTTAATTCGACATCAGGTGTGCGCTACCTCTCAGCTTCTCCCCATATACCTCGACCCACCCTGCGATGTTCGATCACGTCTCGGCGTCGCGGCGCGATTCAAAGGCTTTCTCGTCCTTCAGATCTGGGAGGATCGTCCCCAGCCAGGTGCGGTTCTGCCAGTTGGATTCCCATTGGCTCTTGACCGATTGACCCTCGATGCGCACCTGAAGCGGAGCGCGAGACGAAGCGGAGGGGTGTTTCTTGTTTGCTCGGTCGGTGTTCAGCCTCAGCTGGGATGGCTGCCCCTGTTGAGTTGTCTCTAAGAAACACACGTTCATGCCTTCAAGATTCATAGCACATATTATATTGATATCTCTGATCTCGGGCTGAAGAGCCGGATCTGCAATCCACAAAACGGACACAAGACGGAAAGACCACGGTTTGGACCACGGTTTGGACCATCTCTCATCGCGTGCCAGGATCTTCCCAGGGACACCACCGAAGTGACTGAGTTCTCGTGACGGAACCAACCGGATCCACGAACAGAAGATCCTCCGCGGCGGTGATGGATCCACGGACCGACCAGTTCCATCCGACCGGTTCCCGGTTTTCCAGGTCGGTTCGAACCAACGAAACACATGGAAGATCCCACCACTCTCCCCAAAGCACGGCCCAGTTCTGGCCAGGTTTTTCGTGGATTTTTGGATCATGGCGGCGCTCGGCGCCTTCGGCCACCTGCCTTCGGCCGTCCCACTTCGCCCCACCATCCGACCCCACCTGGGACGTCCGCTGGACGAAGTCTGCGAATCCGGGATCGACAGGACACCCAGATGGTCGGATGCACAGTCCGGTGGAATGGTCCCCCTCCACTTCCGTCTTTTTGCTGTGAAATCGCTCCTATAGAAGCCAGGGTTACTTCGAAGAACCGAACGAACAAACGAAGAAAAGCGCCGAACGCGCCGCCCTTTCCTGCGTGCCTCTTTCAAGTCGCTGCTGGGCGCACTGGGTGCACTCCAGGAGATCACCAAGCCACCTGAAACGACGCAGAAGAAAGAAAACCCTTTTGGGTGCCTTCACCAGGCGCACTGGGTGCTGCGCAGGGTGGTGTTTTCGGACTGTCATCTTACACAGACTGAAGCGATGCAAACGTTTGGGAGAGGGCAAACATCGGCGTATAACATAAAATAACATACGATAACATATATACCAGGGTCATCCAATGGGTGTCCAATAGACTACCCCACCCTACTTACGGGTCTCCATTGGGCACCCGTTGGAAGTGCTAGGTATATATAATTCCATCAATGTCTTGCAGTACACTGTTGAACTGTTAAGCTTCAGGTCCTTTGAGGCCCGAATGGAATAAACAGGAATCAACTGTTATTGTGGAGAATCCTTCAGACATCATGTTGGAACATTTGTTAAGGCCCATTCCGTGGACCATTTACGGCGTATCTGATGCTCCAGCGGAGTCCAGTCCGGTGAATCATCCTTTCAGCATGGCTGGGCGACTGGGCGACGTTGAGTGGGCGACCTCACATCCGAGACCCCCTACAGTAAGGTGCTGAGAGAGATCTGTTGACAGTCCATGGTTCACTCGATTTCGTCCCGGATTTTTCTCATCTGTTGAAGTCCCCTGTTCACTAGAAGGTGTTGAAGTCCCCTGTTGAACCAACTTCCTGTTGACCCCAAAGAAGTCGACCCAAGGGGTCGAAATCAGGCTCGCTCTCCCACCAAGCAGGACTTGACTCTCCCACGTCGAGAAGGTGGAAACCCAAGAAGGGTGCTCGTTATATCCCAAATATATATATATACTCTATGACATATGTGTCGGGATTCACATAGATTGACCCTGAAATCAACCCCAACTGCTTGGTAACCTATTTAAGCTGTTGTTCCCGGAGTGACATGAGGAAGTCAGGCACATGAAGAGTCGACTGTCTTCCTCGATTGTCGGCTTCTCGTTGCTCTGTTCCAACCCTAAACCCTAAACCCTAGTTCGTGTGTGTGCCATGTACAGATCCATTCTGAGGACTTTCGGCCCAATTGATGTCCTCACGTCTTGGACGCCTTGGGTGCTTCTTCACCGGTAAGTCGGATGCCTAAGTTAGGCCCTAACCGGCCCTCCCGAGCCGCTCTGTCCGCTCCGTTTTCCGGTCCCAGGTGCAATCGCCCAGCAGGCCGATCCTCACATGCTGCACCTTCGGTCGTCGGAAGGCTCAGTCGTCCAGGCGGAAGGCGAAGGAAGGCGGCGCCCGCGCAAAAACGGAGTACTTCTGCGAAGAATGTCAACGGAATGCGGGATGGAAGAATGATGACACTTCCCAGACACGACTAATGCGACTGCCATATAAATATGCCAAGAAATGCCTATACATTGACCCCCCCAAACCACCCCAACTGCTTGGCAGTCCTACGGCAGTCCCATGGAGTGTCTGGGCTTGTCCGTTGGATCCACCGGATCCATCATGACCGGCCGACTTCGATCAGGGATCAGGGCTCCTAGGACTGGCCTACGTGGATCATCTTCATCCAAGGCTGGCCTACAAGGTCACCAACATCCCAGGAACCTGGAACTAACACGAAAGTGGAGGTCACCCCCGTTGTAGAACAAAAAGATCCATGGTCTTCCCTTTGGGGGCCATGCTGCCATCTAACCGTATATATGAGTCCTTCCAGGGAGTGTAATCACTTTGTCGGGGGGGGCTATGAATGTCGCAGAATCAAAGTAGCTCGACGGCGGGAATCTCCCGGAATCCCTGCAAACCATCCGTTTCTCCATCTAAACACCTCAATCCGTTTCTCAATCCTGGGACCTGGATAGGCCTGGGAGCGGAACACAGGTCGACATGAGTTTCAGGAGGAATCTGAGAGACGCGCTTTTCTTGGGCCGTTGGTCTCAGAATGTTCGGCTACATGCCAGTCTCGTGAATCACTCACCCAATCTATAGTTGGATGGACACCCTCTTAAGTCCCCAAGCATTCCCAGACGTGGTTCCATCCGAGTTCCACCTATTGAACAGTTCAGGAATTTCTTCCACCTGCTGCGCAGTCGCACACCAGGCCAGAAGGCTCAGCCTGCCGAAGTACTCAGTGGGCCAAGATGGGCCAAGTACTTTAGTCACACCCGGTGGTTCGAAGATACCTGGAGTCTACTCTGGAGTCTACTCTGTACGTCCCATGTTCTAAGGTACTTGAAGTGGGGTCCGGGTTGCTCAAAAACCATCAAAAACCCCATCAAACCCGTGGGACCACGGTCTGGAACAGGCAGGTTTCAGGGTCGATTACGAAGCAAGATGGAGCAAACATCGCAAGGTTGGCCCCTTAACGTTGCAGGAAGCAAGGTATAGACCTGAAATAGATGACATGCGACTTGTGTGCCTCTTTTTCGATCACTTTCGGGACTAGCTCAAACGGAGCTCTGGTGGGTGCTGCAACCCTTGTCAGCCGTGTCGACATCCCCACTGACCGGGTGACTGACCTTTTCAAGCAGAATCGGGACGATGTCAACCAGCGACGTTCACTTGCAGGTTTGGGGTTGTGATGGGTGGTGTATGTCCCAGGCACTCCATGGGAATGCCGTATATGGCTACATTGACCCCCAGTCAACCACCCCAAGTGATCATGTTTTTAAAGAAGATCAACCCTTTCGAAATCCAGCACTGCTTGCTTCGTGCGAAATCCGCCACGATCGTGTGCGAGGAAGATCAATCGGATCGGCCTGAAGAGCTGGCACCGCATGACATCGTGGTTTTGTGAGACCCTTGGTCAGAACTAGTAAACTAGTGGCCACGCGATGTTTCAAACTCTGAGCATTGCCTCCAAAAAAATTGGACTACTATTCACTTGTCGTGCTTTGGGTGTTTGGATGATTGAACAACACACACATTATGCATCATTGTGCGCCTTGTACTGTTATATATAGATTATGTTTTAACGCTTTCCCAATCGTTCAGAATCCAAGCATTCGTCATGCCAACGCAAGTGCCAGGTTTGGTCCGTCCTAGTCGGTAGAGCACTTGCTTGTCACTATAGTACAAATGTGTTTCTGTGGTTGGGTAGGAAGAGTGCTGTCGTAGCCGTGACTTCTCCAATCCAACAGCTGCAGACTTCCGCGGCCGTAAGTCGGTTCGCAGTCCATTGCCACGGACACATGCACACAGCATTGACTCTGCAGCGAAGCATGAAGCTTGGACTGTGCCACCCCGAGTCTGCTCTTGAGAAACTGAGACCAAAGCAAAAATCCTGTTCTTTTTGGGGGGGTCGTTACAAGAACCATCCAAATCATTGAAGCATGGCCCTTATAACACTCCAATATATACTCCAATCACGCGCTGGCTGGACCCTCTGCCAGGATCACCCGACCTGCGGAGTTTCCCGATCCGCACTCCCCATCTCCCTCCGTCTCCTTCGCCGGGCTCCCTCGTCGAAGCGGGGAGAGGAAACGGAGCGGCGCCCAGGTGCAGCAGCGAAGTCCGTGTGAGACGGCCTAAGCTATCCACCTGCCTCAGAAAGGTGTCCTCCACTACCTGGGACGGAGAGAAGTGAGAGGAAATGGCGCTGGTGCACCGAAGAGACCGAAGCTCCATGTCCACCTCCATGGTAACCAGGATCTTCAGTACGTGACCGAACTTGATATTATCCCAGGATGAGGTCACTGAAGCCCGTTTTTCAGGTCACAGACAGAGACTCCAGAGAGGCCACGTACTGAATGTCCTGGAAGTTCCTAATCAGGAATGTGGACATGAGGTTAGAGAGGTGAAGCAGCTTGCTTTTCATGTAGCTGGCTGCTCCGCCACTGGGTCAATCTTCCTGTTCAAGAGGAACGCTGGCAAACCCCCCAAAGTCGATGGTGTACTGGCGACTCTTTCACAGAACCTCCTAGCGTTCAGAAACCAATTCATCGGAACGAAAGAGAAGTTGATGGCCAGCCCGCCCTCAACTCTGCCCGCGGCCGACTTTTGGCAGGGCGACCCATGCGTTCCACAACATGTTGTTCAAGCATCTGAGTACCATATTTCCGTTCAGGAACTCCAGAGCATGTGGGTCCCGTAATTCCTGAATGGAACCTCCAACATCCATCGCTGAGAGAAAGGAACCTCCGACGAGTTCGTGGGACTATCATCACGAATCAGCACACATTCAGACGCTCCGATTCCCTCAAAGGATCACCACCAAGTGGTATGAAACCTTTAAAGTTCGATTTGAAAGAACCCTCAGAGGTGATTGGAGACACTGTTATGTAGGTTTGGAGGGTCCAGTCGGCCCCCTAGTACCTTCTCAGAAGGTACGACTGGATCCCTAGGGGAAATTAAAGGAACCTCAAAGCCCAACTTCTATCGCCCGTGCCCACTCAACTTACTCAGGAAATCTGCCGACGAGCAAAAAAAACATGCTGCCCTGCGCGCTCCTCATGCGTCTCAGCCGTTCTCATGAGTTTCAACCTCTCGAGATGCAGAAACCCAAACGGAAACATGACACTCCCCGGAATCATCATGGAAGGGGGGGTTGAATTCACCACCTGTTTGGTATTCAAGGAATCACGGTCATCCGCGATCGGGGCCATGCCATCCACGCAAGCATATTTAAAAACTAAATTACAAAACGTAATAAAGCTGTATATATATATATATATACAGACTGTAAACCATGTAAAAAAGATCTAAAAAACACACACATGCACACTCACCTATCAAGATCAATCAGCACAATAATAAGATAATGAGAAAAACACTACCAGGTTCCTTCCCAGGTTCCGGGTCAAGATGTCCCCGAATTGGCTGATTGTTGTGGGGCTCCCATGGATGGAAGAAAAAGCAAGAGGAGTCACTTGGCTCCGACTCCAGGTAAGCTGTGATCCACTCTTCGACCTTGCATGGGCCGTTCCTTTAATGATCGGAATTCGGAAGGTGTGAATCAGGCTGGCCCAGCTGGGCCGAAGCTCAAAGGTTTGAAGACCTGTTTGAGTAGAGTAGGGTCGTCTATTGGACACCCAGACAGGATGATCCTGGGATGTTTTTCGTCAGAACATGTGCCCAAAAATCAACACCCGCTCTGAAACAAAAGAAAGAGGGTTTCTCACCTTGGACCCGGGTCCAGGAGTGATGTCCCTGGCACCCGTTCTTGACCGCGTCCGACCTCGGAGTCTGAGGGTGGTGCTCGCGGCATAGAAAAGGTCGAGTTAAGAACTTGAGGTCGGTTTTGGAATGAGGTTTCGAGGTTTCTGCAGATTCTTGCTTTTAGCTTTCAAAGGGGTCTGGAATGATAAGCGGTCAGAACACATTCACCTCGATCAGTTCCTGAAACGTTGCAGAATGCCATGGTGATAGGAAGAAACCTCCTGAAATGTTGCAGAATGCCATGGTGATAGGAAGAAACCTTAATTGCAATGGATATGCATGGATAATCTGATGATCCAAGGGAATCAAAAACAAATCAACCCTAACTCCGAAATCTCTACCGTTTTGGAATGGGTCCTGCCAGGCCTGCTCAGTAGAGGCAAATGTGCGCGGCTCAGCATTAGGATGCTGGGTGGTCCCTCCTCAAGCAAAACTGGCATGAAGACTTGTCTGTTTGCCACCAATGCGTCTCTGTGGAGGTTTCGCAACTCTATAAACAAACCTGACCATCAAAAAGACACCGTTGGCAGCGCAGACTTCAGACTCCTGGAATATCTCGGCGCTGGCAAGAATCATGACCTCAGGTTGGGTGTAGCCTTTATGACGTCAGCCGAACGTAGCCTGTCTGACATCCGAACCCGATTTTGGGACGCCTCTATATCAATCTTTCTACATATCCATCAAGTACCCTTTCCTCGTCAGACAAAAAACATTGCTTGTTAGTGGGGTGTGTGTGTGTGTGTGTCAACTCCATGTCTCTAAGGAATTCGACCACACTAAGGATTCATACTTGAAAAAGATGAGATCATAACTGATTTAGCTCTTGCGAGCCTTTATCTAAGTGTGTGTGTGTGTGTGTCCACTCCTGTTTCCAAGGACACTACTCTAGTACTTTTCTAATCTACCCTACGAGCTTTTCTGTACAGAAGCAGGGGGACAACCCCATGGATGCAGTTGGTTGTCCAACGAAGAGGGCTGCATTCCATGGCTGATATGATCCTGGGACGCTAGGATCACGTACCTGCAATTTTAATACTAATTTTGATTTTCAATCGCTGAGGTTTCTAAGTCAGTGCAACGCCGTCTCATACGTTGTTTCCTGCAGTATCTAGATTTAAAGGGCTAATGCACACCGCGAAGCTACCTGAAATCACGCTCCACGGAGCAACCTTCTCAAGTGTGTGTTCATTTTCGAAATGAACATGGAAACTTGTTCTGTGTGCATGTGCCCTCCCCTTCTGACACGAAGAATGCAGACGCATGCACCCCCATGGTCTCGCACTTTAGCCCATGGTCTCGCTGTCATGCGGTGCAGAAGGGCCTCAAGGGTACAAGAGGCTTGGTAGAACAGCCACCGGCAACCAAGATGGACCAGTGAGCCGTGCAATCTAAACTACCAAGCTCCTTTTCTTCGTGCGCCCCACACCCGGCCAATGGTGTGAGAATGAGCAGACAGGTAACTGTTGTTTACTTTCACGCGCTGCAGCAACCTGCCGCAAGGCTGCAGGCGATCTGCTCATTCTCGGGTAGGGCAGAGCGGTCTCCGAGCATGTGACGGAGTGTTGCGCGTGTTGCATCTCATTTGGGACGGGACGCAAACCAGCATCACCAGCATCATGGGTGGTCTGTGGGAGGGGTGTGTGGGGGGGGGCAAACAAGGAAAGCAAGCGTCACAAGCGACGAGCTTCTATGAGCTTCTTCTTCACGCCTCACCGGGTCCAAATCCAGCTGTCTCCTTCCAGGTAGCTTCGTCTCCTCCTTTTGACCACTTCACGCCAGTCCCAGAGCCGCTTCACCTCGTCCCTCCCTCCAAGCTTCACGTCCTCCACCGGCGACGTTGAAACGTCACCCGTCAGCACGTCGGTCACGGTACTCTACCGGGCGCTACCGGGCGAGTTGAACCATCGAGTAGGGAGCGCCAAAGAAGCGAAACGACGCGAGGGGAGAGATTCCAAGATTCAAAGGAAGAGGGACAGGAAATCGAAGGGGCTGGCGAAGTGGGGAAAGAAAGAGACTCATCCGACAAAAATTGGCTGGTTTGGGATCTCGAGAAACCAGTTTGAATCTGCACCGAGTGAATATATCGCTTTGAAGGACAAATGTATTTATGCAATACCAATGTAGGCATATATGGCATGCATGGAGTGTCTGGGATACTATTATAAGTCATATATCTCAAGCGTGTGTGTTGGAGTGCCTTTCATTTCTTCCCACATTCTGGACTTTTGTGTCCTTTGTTGGTTGCGCATCGAGCCCAGCATCTGCAAGTTTATGATGGTTTACTGTATATATATATATATGCTATTATGGTTCCAAATTAGGATGCCATGTAAACCCTCTGGTAAATGTGTCCATGTGTCCAAACCTATTTGTCATTCTTGGTCGCCTTCGGCATTGGTCGCCGCCCATTGTGTCAACAATCAGCAAGTCACCACGATGCCGCGGGTCAGTTGCTGGTCCAATGCCGGAATACCACTTTCGGTAAGCATCCATGTGAAGACTCACCAAAGCTCGACCAATCGTAGACTACACATATAGAGCTTATCCTCTGAAATCCTTTCACTATATCTTGTTCTGTTTTGTTCAAAAATCACGCTCTTGCACGCTCTTCAGATCGAACAAACAGGCGAGAAGTCGTTTCAGGTGCTTCAAAAAGAGGCCCAACGTCCACCCTGGACCACACATGAATCATAACAAGAATCTCACTGATACTCTCACTGATACTTGGATGTGTTTCAGCTCGCATTGGATGATTTCATTTGAAAATGGTTGAACACATCATAAAACATCAAATATCAGATTCAGATGGCTGAAAAAGGATATCAGTGGATGGTGTTTTTTGGTTTATAGTTCTTTTGGAAGTACATTTTCCGGTCGACGGTCGGTTTCCGACGAGTGTATTTTTGCCGTTTTGTTGGCGAAGCGCACATGTTTTTTTGTTCTTCACGGCTGAAAAAAAGCAGGACATCCTTGAGAATCGTGAAAAAGAGTTGGGAGATGCCCAAAAATACCACGTTCAAAAGGCCCTAAAAAAAAAACAAAAACAGGATGAGTCGTTTATACATATACTTCTACCAGCACCATTAAAAAAAAGAGAACATGCTGTTTTTGGCAGGAAAATACATGGTCAGGGGATGTCGACAAACCACCAGCACACCATGCTACCACTTCCTATTTTCCTTCCAATCATCAAAGGGTGCTAGATCTTGGAAGCCCCCCCGCAAAGATCCCCCACGTTCCGAACATCTTCATCAGATGCCGAGCTTGGCGTCCCAGTTTGAGGTCACACCATCACCAAGACGCCTCTATAGAATCAATCCCAAAATCGCTCAGTCACACAGAGCTGTTTTAAAGGGTCATATGGTTCCCTCCAAAAACGGCCCGCCTCACCGGGCAAGGCCTCACCTAACTCGCTAGGTCTCCCCCGCCCCCGACATCAGCCAACCACTCGACATCCGCGCGGCCGAACATCGTCGACCCGGCATGGGCGCGTCCACCTCCGTGACGCTGGGGGGTGCGGCCGCGGGCCGCTGCGTCGGACGCCATTGGCAGGATGCGTTCTGTTCCTTTTTGGGGGGGGGGGAAGGAGGTGTACAGTCACGTCTCTGGCTACTATGGATAGTAGCAGCTGCAAAGAAATTCCAAGGGTCACGGGACGCCAACCCATGATCGACGGTCACGTCCCGTCGTGGACCGCGGCGAGAGACGGACCGACTCTGGCGTCCGGTCGGAGTCCGGGTCTGAAAGGGGGTGCTCCTGGGATAGGGATCACTTCTCAGGTCAACCTGTAAAAGAGAATCAGATGAAGCCGGACCTAAGTCAAATAGAACCAGCACCTAAGCTTTTTTTATGTTCAACCTGTCTTATCATGTCTTATCTTGACAGAACGGCCTTGGAAGGCTACATCGCTCGCGCTCTGGTCTGGCGAGTTGCCACCGCTTGTGTGTGCCAGCACCGAACCGAAGTGCTACACACCCCTTAATACGATCGAATGGCAAGTTAGACATTTGTAGAGTTCCTTGAAAGAAGTCCAGAGTCCAAGACGACAATCTATTGCATCAATTTGCCTTATATGATGAAATCCTATACCATGCTTCTCATAAAGTACCTCAGGTACCAGTGGCATGCACGACCTCCACGTTTTTCGACCTCCACATGAGGTCGCTCGTTCCCCAAAACTCCTCCGCGCGCCGAGTCGACTGACCGGACAGACCAGACCTCGTCCCAGTCGCGGAGTGCCAAGAAGAGGGCCTTCTCCAACGGCCTAACACGGATGCGCCGCCAACACGGATGCGCCGCCCATCCACGGATCAGCCGCCCCATGACGGTGGTGGGTGCGACAATGTGGTCACGTCCGGGGTGGAAGAGATAGGCACTGAGCACACGGAACCAGAGCGAGAGGTGAGGCCCAAATAGAGGAACCATGTTTGCAACAGGTGAGCGTTTCACTTTACAAATTGGTGAGAAGAAATGGTGGAGAACACCTCATGCCAGCACCACCTTCTCCTTCAGATCCCTTGCAGATCCCTTCTCCTTCACCCTTTCGTCCCACCTGCGAGCCGCGGTCGCCTCCTTCCACGGCGCCCGAGCTTCACAAGCCTTCGCGGCGGCCTCGTGTGGCGCAGAGCGCGCCGCCAGACAGGACAGTCGGGTCCGCTGCTACACGCATGGATGCGCATGGAGCATGGAGGATGAGGAGTTGGATCCAATGCGGCCAAACCCGAGGGTTTGAAGGGTTTTTGGTCCACCCCCGATGGCGTTCTTGCTTCGAAAGCAAGGTCCTCTTCTGCGAATGTCCTGGGCCGTCCGGGCCAAGAGGCCCAGTGTGGAGGTCGGCCAGAAGGAGTCGATCGCCAAGCGCCAATGACCTGGGTGGACGGCATGGATGGCACTGCTTGACACTGACATGCAGCTTTGTTTTTTTGGCATGTGCCAGTAGCCTAGGTGAAAGGATGGCAACAAATGCCACAAAAAAATAGATTAACAAAGGCATCACATGTACAACATGGAAGTGGAAAATGGGACCCTTGAAGACTACTGTCCTCTACCAACAGGATCTTTTCCACTTCCATGTTAGTGAGACATTGTCAAAGTGTACTCCTGCATTAGTAGCTGCATATAGGACACAATGAAAACATGACAAAACTACGGTCTCTTGGTTCTCTCTAACTCTCTCTCTCTCTCTAACCTCTAATAGGGGCTATGAATTACGATTAGGCACCTCAACCGGATGCCCTAGAATATACTTATATATATACACCTCTTTTTGAGGTTGTGCCATCAACCATCACGCAGCAAAATTCCTGCATCTGGCCGCCATGTCACCAGCTTTGTAGCAAGCATCCAGGACGGCTGCAGCGTCCACATCAGGGCGCCTCAGGAGTTCGAAGCGTCGGCTTAGTCGGCCATGCAGCGAAGGTTCTTGACGGGTTAAGGTGGATGTAGGATCGATCCTCTCGAGTACAGTGTACAGTGTACAACCAAAGAAACCATCACCCCATCATGTGGTAAATCATTCGTCCGGAAATGAAGAACTATATTGAAACTATCCAACCATATCCAACCCCCAAACCCCCCCAGAAGAACTGTAGCAAGTCCCTCCACCATGGACTCGGGTTTGACGAGTCGATCTGGTCACGGAGGGCGGTCAAGTGATTCCTTTCCCTGGGTATCAAGAGAGGTTAAGTGACCGTAAATAGGACCCGTCACCTGGGGTAGCTATGGGGTCTAGTTCGGGTTCTTCAACCTCTGCTGTTACCTGCCAGGAGCTTCGTAGCGATGCCCCTTTGTGACTAGCCGATGGCGTCCAACCTACTTGCGATGGCCACCGAGCATCGCGTCCTAAGTGTGTAAAAGGAACGCCCAACGGCCCACTGGGTTGCCAGGTATGTTTTATCTCCGAACCTTCCCACAGGCGGTCGAACTGGGAAGTCTCCTTATTTCAATACACACTCTCGGCCGCCCATCAGGGGTGGGTTTAGGGGGATCAATTGACGGGCATACCAGTCCCATGGAGTGTCTGGGTTCGGTCCAAACCAAATGAAGTTAGCGGCCCAAACCCTGGCCCTGGACCCGAGCCAGACAGCATTTGAGAAAGGCCTGTTCCCCATTTCCATCTTGGACGGTGCTTGTTGAAGAAAACTTACACGGCCCTGACATAGGGCCTTGGGCTTTGGCAGTCCTACAGTATAGGTGGAGAATAGTATCAAATCCGCCCGCGCCGAAGGTGCTGAGGCGTTGTCAGGGTTTGCGCACTCACCGCTAGAATTGCTAGGTAGCACATGCTGAAGCTTTAGCTTGGGGGAGGAGGGGCACTACTGCTCTAGAATGCTGTGCTTTTGAAGTTTTTGAACATACTGACATCGTGTGTATGAGGACCTTCCGTGTGGCTTCGGAGCTGGGCATTGGCGATGTCGGCAGACTGCAGACTGAGGAGGACCGCATTACTGACATCCTGTGTGCTTACCCCTATAGAGACCCACCGAGACAAATGTGCGGGCGGCTTCGACCGCGAAGCGGTGTGAATATAATCACAAAAAAAACACATCTAGCCACCCGTTCAATGATCCAGAATCTATAGATACTACTCTGACGGTAAACTGTGACAGTTGATGCCCAACAAAGTTCTATCAGAGGCACCCAAGTTCATACCTGTCACAGCTGTCAGAAAAAGGGAACAATTCAAGAAGGTCCATCAAACAAGTCGAACTTCTCAGACGCCCAGTTTGGTGCTGGCGGCCGCCCAACGAATCACTGAGAACAAACCATCGAAAAGGCAAGGCCGCGCCCAGCGGTGGAGCATCCACTTTCCCTACCTGGGATTTGTTTCAGCAACCAAAAAATAACAACATCCCACAGGGCAAATAAGAATCACCTGAAGCAAAACCAGGCGACCCGTGTGTACTTACATGTTCATACCACACTTGGCGAGCGATTACATGTTTGTTTAGGTCTGGATGTGTATCTCTGAGTCTCTCTCCCCCTTTTTTCCCTCCAAGTTTGTCCACTTGTTCATCCAAAAAGCACGAACGCACACTCTTTCACTCAGCTCCCAGACCATAGCGAAGACGCCAACTCCCAACGACTGGAGCTACTCAAGGCCGCAATGGCACTGGAGACTGCCTCGGTCTGGGGGCTGGAGGACGACTTCTGGGAGGATGCTCTAGAGGTCTTGATGCTAAGGGTGTCTCACTTTGGAGTGAGTGTTTTCGCCAGTTTTCCCCGTGTTGAAGATGTTTCTTTCACCCAAACGCTGGAGATGAAACCGTGTTCATGGCTACGGATGTGTTTGAAGGCGCTGGAGCAGGCGGAACGGAGATCGGCGGCGGCGCCAGAGAGCGAGCCGCGAGGCTCCGAGCTCGTTGGCGGAAGCCGTCCATCGATGATCCACACGATGTTGGACGATGAAATGGATGCTTGGTGAAGTCATTCGTGAAGCACTTGGGTCAGTGCTCCGACCGTGAGTCACCGTGAGTCAACTGGAATCTTCTAGTCTTGACCGTCCCTGCAGGCAATCTCAAAACGTTGAATACGTTGAAGGTCCTGGTTGATGGATTTCCGTTGCTGGATGTCACGCATTGATGTGAGAATCTGCCATTTGTTGGGTGGAGTTTGACTCCATCCCCATGTTGAGCGTGGATATGCGTGGATGATGAACTGGCATATCGATTAGATATCTGATATCTGCCACCAAAAGACACGTCGACGTCTAAGTCATCCATCGTGAGCCACGATCAACAGACGGCTTTTTTGGCCAATGAGTTTCCACCCAGACACGACGCGTCTGGGACTGCCATAGGACTGCCTACATCGTGGTTGACTGGGGGTCAATTGATCGGCATATGATGGCAGTCCCAGACTCGTCGTATCTGGCACCACTGTTCCAGTCCGGAGCCAACTCTCTGGAGCCGCGCAGCCATGGGCGCCATTGGCCCGAGTCCGCCGATCTCCTGCTACCGCGGCGCAGCGCGCCATCCGCAGCGAGCTGCTGCGGTGGACGAGCACCGGAGGGTGGTGAAGTGGCGGGGTTTTGGGGGTCCAACGCCCAAAGTCCGTGCGAATGAACGTTCAAGACGAACGAGAAATGGACGGTTGACCTCAAGAATGGACTAGAATACTGCAGAGAATGTCCTTCTTAATTGAGGGATGCCTTTGGGATCCTTTTGGATCTTGTCGGAACCACACCTGAGCACAAAACCCACCTGGGCACCACACTGTTGGACGAAGATCGAAAACAATCTGGGTCTGCTCCCCCAAACATGAGCAAACATGGTATTCAGAACGTCCAAATCCCTCCCCAACGAACCGCATCCAGCTTCATGACCAACTTGGAGAATGTTCGTTTCCCCCTGAATCCGAGGAACTCACCTTTCCAGCGCACTTGATCCGAATAGATACTAGCGTGGTACAGTACTGGTGAAGCCACAACGTCTCCATCTCCAAGGCACACTGAACACCTCCAGGACACTTGGCCAACACGAGCCTCAGGTTCCGGCTGCTGAGGTGAAAGATGATTGAGGACTCTCCCGACTGGCGTTTTTGCCGTCGAAACCGCAAAAGGAAACAAACTAACGTTACTATAACAACTAAGTAATGTTAAGCTACCCTTAGTAAAACATGCAACTTGTTTAAACACATAAATACACTATTGTTTGCAGGCCAGAAAGTTGCAATATACTAATTTTATCTAATTTTAATTGCGCCAACATCCAGACCCCAAAGGTATCGTATTCGGACTCTGGTCCCAGAGGTCTCGGGCTCAATTCCTCCCTGTGTTCGTTTTCTCTTCTTCTTCTTCTTCTTCTTTTTCTTCTTCTTCTTCTTCTTCTTCTTCGTTCTTCTTCTTCCTCCTTCTGCTTCTTTCTACTACTACTACTACTACTACTACTACTACTACTACTATCCCCTCTACTACTACCACTACCACTACCACTACCACCACCACTGCCACTAAGACTACTACTACTTCTACTACTACTATTACTACTACTAATACTACTACTACCACTACTACTACTACTACTACTACTACTACTACGACTACGACTACGACTACTACTACTACGACGACTACTACTAC